TCAGGGCCCAGCAGTGCCGGGAACACAGCTCCCCAGAGCAGCCCCAGGCCGGGAGGGACTGGACTGCCCGCCCCCCACCCTAAGCCCACTGAGCACTTGGCTGCACGGTGCCACCTCCCTGGGCCTTGGCTTCAGAGCAGGAGGTCAGAGCAGGACAGGACTGGGGCAGGCCTGTGGCCCTGGCCCAAAGCCAGCGAGACCAGCCACTGAGGGCGCTCAGGGGCGCCGCCCCTCCTCCCCCAGGCGCCCGCCTCAGCCCCAGCTTGGTCCCTCAGTGGCTGTCTCCTGCCCTGAAGACACCCTGGACGGGATCCGCCACACATGGGGGGACATACATGTGCAACCCTGGTGTGCCCACACACGTGCCCACACACACACAAACAGGTGGCTGGGTGTGAGGGGCAGAGAGTGGCCCGGGGCCCATGCACCCCAGCCCCTCACCTTGTCCAGTTTGGCCTCGATCTCGACCACATCTGTCTCCACCTCATCGATAGTTGCCCTGCAACGGGAACGGGGCAGCCGGGGTCAGCCTGCAGCCAGCCGCCTGGACCTCATGTCAGGCTGGGTCTTCTCCTCCCTGCACACCCCCTGAGGGGCTGCTGGGCTGCTGGTTGCCTGACCCTGCCCGCTGACCTGTGCCTCAAGGCCAGCAGGCAGGCCGAGAAATGGAAGCTGGGAGAGGCTGCCGCTGCCTGGGAGGAGGAGCCAGGACACGGACACAGGTCCAGCTGACTCCAGAGCTGCTGGGTACCCACCCGAACCCCCCGCCAGAAGAGGCCCAGTTGGCTGTGATGCCCCCTCTGGGGCCGGGCTGCTGCAGCCACCCTGGCGGGCAAGAGGTCAGACAAGCCTGAGGACCGAGGGAGGGGCTGGACCCCAGTGCAGGTGTGTACTCGGGGTAGGGGCGAGGGAGGCCAGCCCCCCTCCTGCCCAGTCCCGGGGCCCAGATGGACAGTCCCACCTGAGCCTGGTAGCCCCTGTGGCACACTTGTCTCAGTTGGAATCCAGGGCAGCAGAAGACCACTCTGTGATTTCCTCAGCACCGAGACCCCCAACTCCCCCAACCTCAAAACACAGACCAGCAGGTCTGCCAGGAGACAGGGCTGGGTCAGGCTTGGAGGAACCCAGTCCCCTGGGGCTGCCTGACAATGGGCCACCTCGGGGAGGGGAGGGTTAACGCATGACATCACCAGAGAAGCCTCGGACAGGAGAATCCCCGGAAGGCAGAGGCAGATGGGTCGGGCACGTGACATCCCCCCTCCCCTTCATGCTCCAGGAACAGGAAACAGAATAATCAGGCCAGGATCCTGGTGGGCCCCCCCCCCACTCAGCTGGTGAGTTGGGCCCATCTGGCCTCCTGCGGACAAGGGGCAACTGGAATGGGGCTTGAGCCCCAGGGACAGGTCTTGGGCAGGGTCAGGCAGAGGGAGGCGGGCAGGGGGAGGGGCGTGTCCCAGGGTTTCCCAGGCCCTGGGGGTAAGACCTAGTCCCTCACACAGGTTATAGCTCAGAATGATCTCCATCAGAAGCTGGGGAGGAAGGGGGATCACCCAGGGACCTTAGAAGGTCCCCACCAGCCACCTGGCAGGACACGGGCTCCTCTCTGAGCAGCACCCAGTCCTTCCTGAGGGGCTCAGGACACTACATTCCAGAGCAGAGATGGGTCGGGGAGGTTGTCTGCCTGGACCAGACGGGACCCAGGCCCCTGTGAGTGCCCCGCAGCCTACCCAGGACTGCCCTTCCCAACTGCCTGGAGGTGCGTCCTGAGGGGTGTGTTTCTGACAGCGGAGGCTGGGACCTCAAGGGCCCTGGCTCTGCTCTAGCCTCTCCCTTCCCCCTCAGAGGGTCCAGGAGCATGGAAGGACCGCCCACCCAGAAGAGGGTGCTGCAGAGGGACACACAGCTCTGCAGCCCCAGCCCAGCGAGTGCCCCAGGCAGCCGCCCAGAGGCTGCCACCCTGAGGCCTGGGCTCCCGGTCCCTGGAGTGCAGCAGGGTGAGGCTGCTCCAGGAGCCGGCTCTCTCTCCCTGGCCCCTGAGGCCTCCTCCCCTGCCCTCCCTCCAGGATTTCCTCAGCAGCTTGGAGGATGGGGAGGAGGGAGAGGCCAGTCCCCCCCCCAAAGCTGTGACTCAGTGCCTGAAGCCCCACCCACGGGAGTGGGTACCAACAACAAGGGGTGGGTGGAGGCCATAAGCCTGTCTGGAGGAGTCTGGACCCCTTAGCTACATGCATCTGGGGTCTCCCCAGGCCAAGAGTGCACAGGCAGGGTCCCTCCCCCACAGGGCTGAGGCCAAGGGCCCCACAGCACTGACCACATCCTCCTGGCCTGCCACACCTTGACCCACCCAGCCCAGGCCAACCTCCAGGAAGCCCAGGTTACAGCCTCAGCTGCACCTGAAGCTGAACAGACAGGGGCACCTCAGGGTTGCCTCAAACCCCCGCTAAACCTCAGCCCAACCCCAAAACCCTAAAACCCAGAGAGAGGCTTTTTCGGCCCAGGGTCCTGATGGGTCCACTGAGCACCTCCCCCAGGCCCCACTGGGCACTTTCCCAAGGGCAGCCCCTCCCTGCCAGAGGGAGCCGGTCAAAGCCACCGCACCCACTGCTGTGACACAGGCAGAACAGGCTGCCGTGGGAGGAAGACCGGGAGGTGAGTGAGGTGCCTTGACCCAGTCTGACCGGGCGAGGTGGGGAGGAGGAGCAGGAGGCTCGGAGGGCGGGGTCAGGGCAAGACCAGCGGCCCCCCCCCCCAGGACTGAGCCCCCAGCCAAGGCCCTGGCTACACCTCCCCCCAGCCTGGGTCCCAGAGGACAGTGGGCAAAGGTGGGAGCCCGGGATCATGAGTACCTCACATCCCCTCCCTCAGTCAGTCAGCAACAGAGGATGGGCAAACAGAAAAGGTCGTTGCCCACTGCTCCCCCCGGGGCCTGGGGCCACTTTCTGGGCGGACCAGACCCCTCACCCCCAGCCTCCCTGTGAGGGGGCAGGCCCAGAGGCCTGGGGCAAGAGTGACACTGGTGCCTCACTGCTGTGTGAGCACACACGGGCCCTCTGCCTGGTACCCCCAAGATCCAGCACACACAAGCAAGCACATGTGTGCACAGATGTGTGGTAGATGTGCTCCTGTGCCATCCCATGTGCACACATGCAACGACACAGCACACCCATGGACACACATGCAGAGATGTGTGTCCCGGTGCTGGCACACACATGAGCAAAATAACGCGTGTCTAGTGCCAACACTCACACCGGCATGATAAACACAGTGTGTGTGCACACCAAGAAGTGACACGCAACACATGCTTCAATCACTAGTCTTCATACACGTTGAGCACGCCAGCACAGGGGTGCAGCTTGCCCACGCCTTCACATCCAGGGTCTGGCACCTCAAGACGGTGCGGATGGACACAGCTCCCACGTGTGCACCTGGCACACAGGAGGTGCATGGTCACGGCAGATGTGAACACACGGTGGATGTGTGGTGCGCACAGGTGAACGTGGCTGCACCCCCACAAAGCCCTGAAAACACAAACCCAGGGCAGGCCCCAAGCCAGAACCTCCCCTGGAGCCTCCAGCCAGGTCTGCTCCGCCCAGCCCCCATCCCTCCCCTCTAGGTGCTGAGTTCACCCTGCCAAGCAGCCACCCCAGACCCTACATGTGGCTCCAGATGACTGTCCCCTCTGCACACTCTCGGCACACAGACCAAGACAGAATCCTGGGACGGAAGACCTATGAGCCCAGACAACCCTGGCCGCAGCAGGACTGCAGGGCTGGGAAGGGTCTCAGCCCTGTACAGGTGGCCGGCACGAAGGTGCAGACACAAAGCGGGGGTGGACACTCCCACGGAGAGGTGGCTAGCCGGCGGCAGCCCCGCCCCCACGCGCGCGCCCTCCGCGCGAGGTGACCAGCACAAGGGACGCCTTTTGTTCCGTCCCCTCGTCCCCAGGCGCTGCGGGCTTTGTCGGAGGCGGGGTCCTCCAGCTTCCGTCACTGGCTTCCCCGTCGGGCACAAAGGGGGCACCGACGCCCCTGCCCTGCGCCCACCCTCGGCCGCCCCGGGTGCCCCGAGGGGGCGGCGACACCGGCGCCCACAAAGGGCGCGCCCGGCGGGCGCACCTGAAGCGCGGCGAGTCCTTGATGCACTCCTCGAACTCCACCGTCATGGCTGCGGCGACGCGCGGCGCTCACTGGCACGAGGACCGCGGCGCCCGGAGCGGCATCCTCAGCCAGCCCGGCCCGCTCGTCCGCCCGCCCGCGCCGCGCTCGGCGCCCGCCCGCCCCGGAATGAGGCCGCGGTGCAACCACTCCGCCCCGCCTGTCACTGCCGGGGAGCGTCGCCAAAGTCCTCAGAGTGCGCGCGCCGCGCGCTGTCACCGCCGGGGAGCGTCACCAAAGTCTACCACCCGCGGGCGCCGCCCGCTGTCAACGCCAGGGAGTGTCACCAAACGCCCCTCCCTGCGGCCGCGGGCACGCCTAGCTCAGCCTTGATGCCTCAAGGTTCCACCTCCCTTCTTTCCTGGGCCACTCCACATCGGGAAGGTGGGGCGGGCTCAGCAACAGTGTGGAGTCTGAAGCTGTCGGTTGGGCCGCGGGGCGGGGATAGAGTACGGGCCCCGCCCTCTCTGGCCATCCAACCGTTGCGCAATTAGGGGCGTTTGCAAAACCTTCTATGCCGGAACATGGCCGTAGGACACGATCCGCCAGGATGCGGAGCGAGTGAGTGGGTGTGTAGATGGGCGAATGAGTGCAAGCACGATGGGGCGTGCAGGTCAGGCGCGGTTGTGAGAGCGTCTCCCGGGACGCCGCTGTTCGAATCGTGCCTACGCTTCCCGCAGTGGCTAGCACTTTGCACCCACTCCCTAAGTCTGACCCCGCCTTCGTTGCCCCCGCCCTCGGCGACAAGGGGTGGGAAGTGGAGGGCTGTAGGGGCGTGGTTAACGCAAAGGCGCAGACGCGGGAGCAACGGGGGCGTGGCCAGCTGCGTGCGCGCGCAGGGCCCACGTGAGGTCTCCGGCTCCACTAGGTGCTCCAGTGTTCTGTTCAGCCTGGCCATGGGCTCCGGCCTGGCTGCGGGTTCGGTGCGGGCGCGCTACCTCGTGTATTTCCAGTACTTGGGCACTGATTTTAAGTATGTCCCCCGGACCTCTTTTCGTGCTTGCGACCCCTACGCACAGTGCGGTGCCTCGGGAAGCATGGGAACTGGTCCCCAAGGGCAGCTGGCGCTTGAGGGAAGGGCGGGATCCGCCCGTCCGGCCTTGGACCTGGACCACAGGGATAAATGGCCCCGTTGGCCGCATTGGGTGGGGCCAGGGAGGGGCGGTATCCGCCCACTGATCTGTGCCCGCCTCTGCCCACAGCGGGGTCGCGGCCGTCAGGGGCGCCCAGCGTGCCACCGGGGTCCAGAACTACTTGGAGGTGAGCTCCGCCGGCCCGTCGCCTGGGATGGAGGAGGGCAAGCCCCGGGAGGGGCAAATGGGAGCCCCGCGCCTGTGGGAGCGCGGGCTCTTGGCCCCACGCTGCCCACCCCGCCCCCAGCGGCTCTGTCCCCGCAGGAGGCTGCGGAGGGGCTGAAATCTGTCCTGCCAGTGAAGTTCACCATCTCCAGCCGCACGGATGCTGGGGTCCACGCCCTGAGCAACGCGGCGCACCTGGACGTCCAGCGCCGCTCAGGCCAGCTACCCTTCTCTCCTGAGGTCCTGACGCAGGCCCTCAACACCCACCTGAGGCATCCTGCCATCCGGTGAGCACCCTCTTCTCTAACCCCCTGGAGGCGAAGGTCAGGAAGGACTTGGTGTCTGTGCAGCACTTTTGGGGGGTCAGTAGGTGAGATACCAAGGGGGGGTCATTCCTCTGGTGGCCCTACTTTGATTCCAGTGTCCTGAAGGCCTTCCGTGTGCCCAGTGACTTCCATGCCCGCCACTCCGCCACATCCAGGACTTACCTGTATCGCCTGGCCACTGGCTGCCCCCAGTACGAGCAGCTGCCTGTGTTTGAACGGAACCGATGCTGGGCACTTCGGGCAGAGTGAGTGTGGGCTGGGTGACAGTGAAGGGGACGGCTGGGGCTTGCCGGGGCCGCCAAGCTGGCCACTCCCTCACCACTGGCCTGGCTCTGCAGCTGCTTGGACGTGGCTGCCATGCAGGAGGCGGCCCACCACCTCCTGGGGACACACGACTTCAGCGCCTTCCAGTCGGCCGGCAGCCCGTCCGCCAGCTCAGTGCGCACGCTGCGCCGAGCGTCAGTGTCCCCTGGCCCAGCCAGCCCCTTTGTCCTCCCCCAGGAGAGCAGGTGAGGAGAGGCGGCCCACACGCCAGTCCTGAGGCTGGGGGGCTGGGCTGGATTCAGGCACCTTTCCCCGGTGAGGGCAGGGCGGAGGCATCACGTCCTGGGTACACGCTGGGGGGACGCTGGGCAGTTGGACGGTGCCCACGAACCTGCAGTTGCCCTCCCCCAGCCGGGGAACAGCGGATGGAGAAAGCTGCCCCTCTCTGCCCAGAGCTCCCTGCCTGTTGGGCAGATCTTGGCAGCCACTGAAAAGGTCGTGCGGACCAGTGGTTCCAGCCACAGGGCAGCTGCCGACTTCTAGAGCAGGGCGTCAAGCTCGTTTTCATTGGGGCCACATCAGCCTCACGGTTTCTTTCAAAGGGCCAAATGTAATTTCAACTCCTCAGCAGTTAAGGAATAGTTACATTTATACAGTCCTAAAATTATTTTGGTCCTTTGAAGGCAACCTTGAGGATGATGTGGCCCCCAGTGAAAATGAGTTTGACACCCTGTTCTAGAACCTTCCTAATTTGGGCCAAAACTAAAGGGAGGAGGCACTTCTGCACAGTCAGCCTTGGGCTCCTTACCAGGGCTCGGCTGGAGGCTTGGGTGTAGTGCATGAGCTGCCCCAGACCCAGTACCAGGACCTTGACCTTTCAGCCTGAGAGCCCCACCCCCAGGAAAGCCCTGCTGTCTATCCCTCTCACCCGATGGTGGTTTGGTTTCCCTGAAAGGATGGGCTGGTCGGTGCAGGCCCTGGTGTGGAGGGGAGGGATGGCACCAGTCAACACTCTTCCCAGCCCCCCTGCCCTGCCTTTCCTTTGGGATCAAACTGGGCTGGGGCTGCCCTATGGCCTGGACGTCACAGGTGCCCATATCCCCAGGAGGTTACAGTTCTGGAGCCTGGAGTTTGAAAGCCAGTCTTTCCTGTACAGACAGGTGGGCTCTGTTCTGGGCCCCCGGGGGTGGGGAGCAGGGGGAAGACTCGGGCCTCCGTGGCAGTCTTGGCCTTGGGTTGCAGGTGCGGAGGATGACGGCGATCTTGGTGGCCGTGGGGCTGGGGACTTTGACACCTGCTCAGGTGAAAGTGATTCTTGAGAGCCGGGACCCCCTGGGAAGGCACCAGACACGTGTGGCCCCAGCCCATGGCTTGTTCCTGAAGTCGGTGCTATACAGGGACCTTGAGGACTGTGGAGAGGAGAGGTGGCCCGGGAAGGCCCCTGCTTGTACCCTCTGATGGACCTCCACTCCAGGCTGGGTCCTTGCTGGAGAACCCTTGGCGGCCCTGGCGTCACAGCCCTCACCTGTCATTCTAGGAGCTGGGAGTCCAGCCTGTGCCCAGCAGGAAGACTTCAGGCCAGAGACCAATGGCCCAAAGGCAGGTGGCCTGGGGTGAGGTGCCTGTGTCCCTCAGGCCCATATCCCCCAAGTTCCCAAAGGGGCAGACAGTGGGGCCCTGAAAGTGAGCAGGGACCCCCTGCCCTCAGGAACCTATCTATAGGTCCTGCTTCCAGCAGCCCCAAAACTTCCGGCCTCGTGTTCTGCAGGGCCCATGGCACTAAAGCCAGAGATGACCCCCAGCTGCCCAGCCACGGTCAGGGCATGCCTGGCTCACTAGGCTAGGCCACTGGACCCTGCCCAGCTCTGCACACCCCATGCCCTGTGTGTGAAGCCGGGGCAGGTGCAGGGACAGGTGGGAGCACGCAAGCAGCCTTGGGTTCCATCTTCACTGGAGGTGAACATCCCAGCCCAGGAGTAGAAATAAAATGTGAAGAGGCCTCCAGGGGTTATTTATTTTTTCCGCCCAAACTGGCCACTTGGCAGGCATGTGACACTGGTGGTGTCCCCACAGATGAAGGCCATGGCCAGCTGGGGCTGCACATGTACAGAGGGATGACCGGGGCACAGACTGCGTCCTAGAGTACAAGACTGGTCCTCTGGCTGCGCGGCCGCTGCCATCAGCTGCCTCCGCTGGTGGCTGGGGGCAGACCCTTCTTGAGCAGGGACGTGAGGTAGCTGCCCAGCTCTTCATCCTGCACTGACACAGAGGCTGTTGCCCCACCCTCCCCACCCTCCCCCACCCAGGCAGCCCAGGGTGAAGGGGTGACCCCACTCATCCCGGCCACTGTCGGCTACAGGCCCTGGGTCCGGCCACACACCTGGTAGGTCCATGAGACAAGCAGCACCTTGGTGCCTGGGTCCTCTGAGTGAGCAGCAGCCTGGATGAGGATGGACTCCACAGTCACTGACCCGTCAGGGAGGTGCTGCACGCAGTGGTCCTTGAGGAGGCTGCAGGGACACGTGGTGAGCCCCACCTCGGGCCCCACTGCACCCACCCCAAGGGCCGGAAAGGGACAGCACCCACCCCTTCAGGTGGCTGTAGACGCGCACGGCGGTCTCCTGCTCCTTCCGTGTGTCGTGCAGGTGCACACGGCAGGTGAAGCGCAGCTGGTGCTCGGCCAGGCCCAGCTCCTTGAGGGCCTGCTCTGAGGACACCAGCCGGAAGTTCTGCAGGGCAGGGCAGGGACCGGTCAGGGAGTGTGGGGGCCCCACCCCCACCCCCGAGACCGCACACACTCACGCTGTCCTTCATGATGAGGGTGCCATGCAGGAGCCGGGGCTTTTTGGCATCAGGGAGCAGCCCTTCAGAGAGGAGCCGGGGTCAGAGCGGTCAGAGGGGGCTGCCCAGCCCCACCGGGCCCCACCTCTCGTACCCTGTGCCATCTCCCGCTTCAGCAGCCCCAGGGAGATGCCCACAGGGATGCTGGGACTCGTGGGCAGCGTCACTGTCTCGCCGTTGGCTGGCATGTAGCAGCTGACCCCTGGGCCAAGAGACAGATGGTGTCAGCAGGGCTACCGGCCCTGCCTCGCTGACCCCATGGGAGGGCCCTCTCCCCCCAGCCCTGCACCAGCCCCACCCCCTGCCGCCTGGGCTGCCTACGGAACTCCTGCTCGATCTTCTGCTTCAGGAACTCCATCTTCTTGGCCTCGCCGTGTACCAGCAGCACGCTCTCGGGCTCCGCCTGGCCCACCAGCTGCATGATGCCCTTGGCATCCGCATGGGCGCTGAAGGACATGTACTCCACCTGCATCCGGACCTCCAGCTGTGGCGGCACAGTGCACAGGGGCCATCACTACCCACCCGAGAGGGGCTGAGGAGCCCAGAGGGGCTGGGGGAGGGTGGCACTCACCACCTGCCGCCCCTCCATCTCCAGCTTGCGCTGCCCACTGAGGATCTTGTGGCCCACGGTGCCCTGGACGCAGTAGCCGGGCATGATGACCTGCAGGGCAGAAAGGGACAGAGCTGGTGGCCACTTGCGTGGCTTCCACCCCCTGCCCCAGGGCTTCCTCGTGGGACACCCGACCTCCCCTCTCTGCTCCTCCGAATGCTGGGATGAGGCCCCTTCCCGTTCCCCCGAAGGCCCAGGCCTGAGTATTGTGCCCCCTGCCTAGGAGGGAGCCCTGACTGGTACCAACTGGCAGGAACAGAGAGATGGTCCGACTGCCTGGGTCCGACGCCAGCTGAATCACGGGGTGCTCTCCTGACAGCCACAGCGTCCCCAGGCCAGGGAGCCCCTGCGCCCAACCTCCGCCCAACCTCACAGGCCCTCCAAAGAGTTGTTCCGGGACCCGCACCCTCACCATGTTCTTCTCATTCCCTGCCCACTTCCGGAAGATCTGCAGGGACTGCCCGGCGTGCAGCATCCCCGGGGTGGCAAACACAACCTGGCAGGCGGTGCAGGGGGCGCGGTTGGGGGTCAGGGCAGTCCACCCCCTGGCCACACCTGGGAGCACCAGGCTCACAGCAGGCCCAGCCCCTCCCTGCCTTCCGAGTCTTCTGCCGCACCCGCCGCGCCCCCTCCCACCCTGTGTGTGGGGGCACGGGGGACGGGACACTGAACACTCCCCAGACATGAGGGAAGAACGCGCATGCGGACACCAGGCACTGGCCTGGGCCCCGCCCTCGGAGGCGCACCTGGGCTGCAGCCAGCGCAGACAGCCGAGCCCTCCCCTCCCTGCCAGGGCCTCACCATTGGACCCGGATTGTCGGCAAAGGCTCGGTCGAAGGCCTTGATGTGCTTGAACTCGAACATGTTCCTCTGGACGAAGGTCTTCCGGATCTTCTGGTTGGTCCAGGTGATGAAGAGCTTGTAGTAGTGATTGGCCTTCTCCGTCAGCCCGGTGGAGAAGTAGATGGGGGCCTTCAGGTTCATGCGTTCCCTGTGGACGGTGCGGGGGCCGCCGTGGAGGAGCCGTGGGGCGGGCCTGGCTGGGTCCTCCCCACGCCTGCGGCCCAGATTGAGGCCAGGGCCCTCGGCCTGCTTTCTCCTGTATGCCGTGCAGCTGACGTGTACAGAGGACGGTGCCCGTGTACCATCACAGGCCCCCAGGCCCAAGTGGTGCCCGCATGGCCACTGGGCACCCCAGTCTCTCCTGCCCACTCAGGCAGAGCTCCCGGAAGCCGCCCCAGTCACACCTACCAGAAGGTCTCCAGCAGAATGCAGAGCTCCTGAGCGCGGCCCAGTGCGAACACGGGGATCAGCACCTGCAGGGCGGGAGTCCGAGGCTGCTGTGGGGGGAGCCCCTGGCCACACTGCCCCCCAGGTCAAGCCCACATCTGAACAGCAGGTGGCAGCTGTGCCCAGTGGCCACCTTCTCAGGCAGCAGCTGCTGTGAAGACCAGCCTTGTGGCAGCTCTTATGGCCACAGGCCAGTCCACTGAGAGGTCTCAGCCAGGCCTCCCCCAGAGCTGGAGGCCCTACACCCGCTCCGTCTCCACTCCTGCCTCCAGCCTCAGTCTACCCAGGTGGAACCCTGGTGGGCGCTCCAGCCAGCTGTGTGCTGGGACCTGAGACACAAGGGGAGTCAGCACCCAGCAGGGCCAGAGAGTGCTCCTCTTCCCAAGGCTCAGCAAGCCCCCTCCCTGCACCCCGCCTGCATGGCCCACAGCCCCCCTCTGGCCCCATTGGTACCTTCCCGCCACGCTCCACAGTCTCATGGACCTTCTTCAGGAAGTCCCGCTCTCGGCAACGCTTGGAGTCTCGGATGGTCGTCGCGTACGTGGACTCTGTGATCAGCAGGGTGGGCCGGCACTTGTCAATCCAAGCGGCCCTGGAACAGAGTGGGCCCAGGGCACGGTGCTGTGGGCAGAGCACACAGCAGGGAGGCTTTCCGGGATGGGCCCCGCCGCAGCCACCCTGCACAGCCCAGGCAGCACTCGAGGGCAGACGAGGCTGAGGCTCTGCCTCCCACAGGGGACGCAGGGTCGGTGCTCAGGCCCCTGACACACCCGGAAAGGTCAGTGCACTCTGGGGCAGGGGCGGGGCTCTGCAGGACGGAGCCAGCCAACACCCCTCCAACTCACCCCAGGTGTCGGTCCGGGGTCATGTTGTAATCGCCCTGCGGAGGAGCAGTGTTAGGGAAGGTGCCTCTGGTCCCCACCCAGGAAGGTGCCTCTGGTCCCCACTCCAGCGCCCAAGGGCCCCACTCACTGTGTAGACCACCGACTCCGAGCCCACTTTGATCTGGAACATGGCGGCCCCCAACACGTGGCCTGCGTAGTAGGCCTTGATCTGCAGTTCCTCATCCACCTGGCGAGGGGGAGGACACAGGTAGATGACATCATTCCAAGTCCCTCCTCATCCCCTCATCTGTCAGATGACATTCGGTTTTCAAGCAGAAGCAACTCAGCATGAGATAGACAGCAGCCTGGAGGGACGGATGCGGGGCGGTCACGTGAACAGCACCCCCACGCAGGTGAGAAGCCACAGGGTGAAGGATGCAGGCAAACAACCAGCAACTATTTTCAAAGAGTGGAAGTCCTAAAACCATGAACTATAATACCCTGAATTAAGAATTCAACGGAGAACACTGACGGCACGTGAAACACAACCGGGAAATGGCAATGACCTGAAAAGCCGGTGCAGGACAAAGCACAGAAGGACAGGATGGCGGAGGCTCAGGGGAGCCAACGCCTGGCTCTGCTGAGAGCCCCAGGCTGTGGGACTGGAGCCTGGTGAGAGACGGCCGCTGCAGCTCCCGGGCCCGACCGCCGCGGGGGCCCAGACACCCTCTCAGGTGTACTCAGAGCGTTGAGAGGGAGTCACTGCCAACCTCGGACGCTGCATCTAATGGAAAAGGCCGGGGGGGGGGGGGCAGGGGGCGGAGCTAGCCTGGTGGCAGACAAGGGTAAACTGACGTTCAGCTCCAGCAGATCCAGGCTGGCGTTCTCAGGCGGAAGGTGAACTGCCCCAGACGAGAAGTGGGGATCTGGCAGTCGGCGGCAGCAGGAGTGGAGAGGGACACCGGCGCAGCCCTGCCCTGCCCGGCTCACGGCGACCGGGGGAATCAACACAGAAACATCAGCCTGTGTCTCGGACGGGGCTGTGGGGGCAGTGCCCTGAAGGGGC